AATTCTTTAATCGTATCTTTTCAAAAAGGATAATTAAGATCTTTAAGAAACTTATGTAAGGTTCTAATTAATCCTAATTAGTTTAGGAATAGGATTTAACCTTTGGACCCTCCACATGATCATTGGGTCGTAGGTAAGATCCGGTTCGAGCCCAGTTTAGTATTTTGGCCATAACTTCCTCATTATTCATCGGAATTGGGCTTATAATATATCGTTGGAAAGGTCTTTTCAAGCCCCATCCAAATACACTATTATTGGACCCTTATCATGGATCAAACTAAACTGGAATGTACGTTTTTCAAAAATAGGGTAAGAAAAGAAATATTTTCAAAAACAGAAAGAAGAGATATTTTAATAAAAACATCCTCATCACTAGATTTTTCACACTTTTGCTTTGTTCGATAATCAAATGACATGAAAGGTATTCATCATTAGGTTTGGATTTGGGGAGACACATTTGGGTGTCTACACCTGCCATGACCACAGTCTCCCCAACCCAGCCCTAATCCTGACCCAAATTTCCGTTTTCCAGCGCCCACCACTAATTTCCAACACCTCCACCCCGATTAACTTTAATTTGCCCCGAAACTGTAGGCAACATTAGGAAAGATTTTGAAACTGAGGTGGGGAAGGTAGAAGGTCTATTGGGAGGGGAAAAGGCTGGCTTCTGAGTTGAGGGAAAGGAGGAACGACCAGTTTCGGTGGTGTGGGAAAGGAGAGGGCGCTGATTTCAGCGGTGTAGGAAGGGAGGAGGTCCATTTAGGGCGTGCATTTGGGAGGGAATTGGTATTGTGGCAGCGTCATTGTGAATGGGGATGGCGGTTTCCGAGGTGGGGTTAAAGTGGGGGTCGTTTGCCGGTATTTAAGGTGGATCAAAGGTGAAAATCGGTGGCTTGCGGCTGGTGGTTGGTTGGTTTTGGGTTAGGCTGGGGAGAAGGCCAGGCCACTTTGGTGGCTGGTGCTTTGGGATTCTTAATTTTTTTCCCTTTCCTTTCCTTTCATTTTTTTAAAACCACTCACGTATCGATATGTGTCAAGTAACCTACAATAATAGGTTGTTGACCTTTGTTGACCGATTTAGGATTTTTGGAGGAAAGCAGAGTTGAAAGTTGAGATTATTGCATAATAATCAAAACTTGGGATTATTTACAGTAAATCGGGAAAAGTTGGGATTATTAAAGTATATTTTTCTTAATAAATTTAAAATTAATGTTTTAAAAAAAAAACGTAAAAAGGATCAATTGGACACGTTCGGGTCGGGTTTGACCCACAAATTAATGGGTCAAATGGGTTTCGAATTAAATCGGATTACGGGTTAAAAAATTGGGTTCAAGACCAACAAAACGGGTTGGTTCGGGTAGGGTTGAAAATTAACAGGTCTAGTAGTAGCTAAGGGGGTATCCACACCAATGGATTGTTGGCAACCTAGTTCTTTGCCAATTTCTAGGTAGATGCAGGTCCAACCAGTTGCTGGTTGGACCCTCTATAAAACAACATTATTTTGTCCTGTTTTAAGACGAGCATTCAACAACAACTTAATTAACTAATTTGAAAATGATCATTTACGTATTTGGAAATGAAGTAAATATTACAATATGATTTTATATGGCAATAACATGTTCTATTACAAATTAAATTTAAACATTTTCTTATCGGTTTATGACAATTGTTTTACTACGTATTTCTAAAGCACTAGCTAATAAAATTCACACAGTATGGATTTTTATCTGAAAGAGTATATAAGTCGATCTTGAGCTTCGACCTTAAACTTAAGTTTTTGATTGAGTTGGTCCATTAATATGGTATCAAGAGTCAATGTGACACAAAGATCATGGGTTTAATTCTCGCGCGTTCACCTCCGATCCCTCAACCGTCAGTTTAAAACTTTATCAAAAATAAAACAAATGACTTATATTTTCACATTTGAATACTGCTGACTTTTAGGCATGCATTGTATTTGTAACATTTAATTGAATTGCAATATATTGATAATTTTTGTCACATTCATGTACATAACTAATATGATTATCATGACTTTTAAGCTATGAATCTAAGCTAAAAATAAACATTATTTGACCTTCGTAATATTATGAACATAAATTAAAATCAGATCAAATCACTTCCAAGATCAATAAATGTAGAAATGATAATGTGCTGGTGCTCTTCTAAAAAAACATACACAATTTATGTCAGAGTTGTGATAAATCGATTATGTGAGAAAAGGACTTTTGAAAATGAAACTAAATTTTTTTTAGAATAAATTGATAACGAACCTAAAATTTATTTAGAATAAACAACAAACCTTTAAATTTGATGTGTTGAACACAAATCGATACCCACATTTGACAATCACGATATGAATACAAATTATCACCATTAAAAAATATTAATTAACATGAAAAATTAAACATTGCATAAACGACTAAAATACTTTTCCTAAATGAACATACATAATTCATGACAAGTACATTGATATTGTTTCAATTAAAAAAAATGTACATTGATAATTTGAAGAAAAAAAAATAAAAACTTTGAAAAGGAATTATTTTGTAACTAGAATTTTTATTTTATTTTAAATATAGGATTATTTTTTACATACCATAACCTCTTTTCAAAATTAAATTTCCTTAAAGTTAAGGAAAAATTGTAAATAATAATCCCAACTTTGCTCCATTTTCTTTTAATAATCCCAACTTTAGATTATTCTAGAATAATCCCAACTTTGGGGGTTGTTTTCTTTTTTCAATCTCAAACCGGTCAACAGAAATCAATTACCTCTAATAGAAGGTTACATTACACGTGTCAACTTGTCATTGGTGCAAATAATAAAAAAAATTTAAAAAAATAAAAAGAAAAAAAAAAACAGAACCACACAACCTCACACCAGATCCCCCAAGCTCATCCACCACCCTGCCCTCTGCCACCAGCATACTCACGCCTACACCCCGAAAACACCAGACTCCCCTAAAACCTCCCCCGCGTTGGCAACCTTCACCGCAGCACCGACTCCGCCGATCCAACATCCAACCTCCGCCGCTCGATCAAAACCCGCTTCGAGTTATCAGCCCAATTGCCTTTGTCGTCGATCGGTTAGCCATATGTGCTCCCATCCTGTCGTCCCTCCCCCTTTCTCCTTGAACCAACCACCCTCATGAGCGCACTCCCCCTTCCCCCTTGAACCACCACCCTTGTTAGCGCACTCCATGAGCATAATTTGAAGTTGTTGATGATGCTATTGGAGGCTGAAATTAATGTAATTAGGAATCGAATTGCTGATTGTAGATGGCAAATTGGTGATGAGGTGGAGATGGGTGTTGCGGCTAACAGTTTAGGTCAGTGGTGATGGTGATTGTGCGGTGTTTAATTTAAGGGTTGTGCTTTATTTTGGGCTGAGCTAATGGTTTTTGTTGTTGTTATTTGAGGTTGTAGCGTGGGTTGAATGGGGCGGCTTTCCGAGGGCAGGAAAGGTGTTCGTTTTCCGGTGGGCGGTGGGCTGGGGTTTCGGTGGACGGTGTGGCTGGTGGGGTGGCCAGCGAAGGGGGGCTTTTCTGTTTTTTTTTTTTTTTTTTTTTAATTTTTAATTTCTTTGGCTAAGCAACTCTTGACACGTGGCATTAATTAAACAAAAAAAGGAAAAATTGAAAAGAATAATCTCACATTTCGCCCATCTGCTCAAAATAATCCACCTTTTCGAATTCTTGAAATAATCTCACCTTGTAACTCCATATTCCCAAAATAAACCTTTTTACCTACAACCGTTTCAACAGGTAATTTTTTTTGTTCGAATAATAAAACAAAGGCAAAATAAAAAATAAAAAAAAAAGAAAAAGAAAAAAAATCCCCAAACACCGTAACCCAACCCTACCCCACCATTGGCACCGCCATCACCACCACCACCATCACCACCATCACCATAACCCAACCCCACTCCACCCCATCGGCGATAGCTTAACCGTACCCCTGCCCCACCAATACCGGTGAAACCCCACTTAAATTGGTTACGATTGAATTGGAGCTTGTGGCTGCGTTTTGGGGTTGAATTGAAGCTTGTGGTTGCGATTTGTACTGTAGGGCTGCGACATCACGGTGGCTGGGAGGTTGGGGTAATTGTGGAGTTAGTACAGTGGTGGTTGCTGTGGGGTATGTTGGGCGAATTTGGCGGTGGTGTGGTGGTTGATTTATGCGGCAACAACTAATTTGGAGGAGGTGCGGTGCGGTTGTTGATGTGGCTGGGCGAAGCCCGGGAGTTAAGAGGGATTGTGATTGGTGGCAATTTGGTGTGTGTGGGTTCTGTGGTGGTGGGTTGTGGTGGCATCAATTGTAGAGGAAGGAGAGAATTTGTTGTGATGGTGGTAAGGTGCGGCGGTCAATGGGTCTGACTGGTTGTGATGGTGGTGATGGGGTTTAGGATTTGTTGTGATGGTGGTAAGGGAGAGGGGGATCTGGCAGACTGGCAGGGGAAGTTAGAAGAAAAGTTTTTTTTTTTTTAAAAAAAAAAAAATTTAATTCTTTAATTTTTTTTAAAACCAATTAAAAGGCAACACATGTCAAATTACTTTTTAAAACAGGTTATCAATTCAAACAACCAGTCATTAAATGAAAGAGGTTCATTTAAGAAGATGGGTTACAAGGTGAGATTATTTCTGAAATTCGAAAAGGTGAGATTATTTCTGAAATTCGAAAAAATGGGATTATTTTGAGCACATGGGCAAAAGGTGGGATTATTCTTTTCAATTTTTCAAAAAAAAAAGAAAAGGAAATTAGCCAGTTCAACAAGTAACCGATAATTGAGATTGATAAAAGAAAGCAACCCCCAAAGTTGGGATTATTATAGAATAATCTAAAGTTGGGATAAATGAAAGAAAATGGAGCAAAGTTGGGATTAGTACAAATTTTCCTAAAGTTAACCCCCGCCAGTTTACAAATGAATAACAATTGAAGCTAGTTTCGTCTAAAATTAGGGCCTGTTCTGATTGACTGAACTGAATTAAACTGAAGTGAACTGAATATTTTATAACAAAAGAAGATTAATAATTGAATTAAACTAAACTGAAAATCAACTAAAAAGACGACTCTAAAAGTACATAATCCCAAAAAAAAAAAAAATTACAAGATTTAAATGGTGGGATAGATCACGTGACTTGCACATGTCTCTTCACGGTTTTTACCCTTGTGAAAAAAAAAAAAAAAAAAAAGCTTGAATTGCCCCAATTACTTCCCCACTGAAACGAATCAGATCCAAAAAAAAAAAAACCAACCAATTGATCCAAACATGACCAAATTACTGGAACTTTCTCGTAGGGTTCTTCCCAACTCCGCTGCGCTCCTTCACCGGAGCTCCAATCTTCTCTCCAACCATGGCTTTGCACTCGGCTCAATCAACTCAAAACCCTCGCAAAACCCTAGAAATGGCGAACAACTTCAACCATTTTCTTCATCAACGCAAATCTCTGGTTCAAACCACAGCATTTACATGAATCAATTATTCCCCAAATCGAATTCAAGCTTCAAATTAAGCAGCGGAAATTCGTTACAAGCCGATGTTCTTCGATTAAGCGAAGATGTATTCTTGGTTGATTCAGGAATTGGAACCCCTAGAATTTGTTTACAAGACGAGTTAATTGGGGTGAAGAACAAGAACAAAATCAGGTTTGAAAATCGGGTTGGATTTCTGGATTTAGCTACAAGTGAAACGCTGATTAACAAGCAGATGTTGGAGAGGTTTTTCATTGATTTGGTTGCTGGTGATTCGATTGCGAAAGAGCGGGCTACTGCGAGGTTTAACGATTTGGTGGGTGGATCAGCGGATGTGAATGCAGTTGCTGCGGGTGAACCATTGCTTGTTCTGCCGAGGCGCTACCGGCAGAAGCGAGCTTGGATGGAATTAAGCAAGAAATGGCGGTCGAATTCGCAGGTGAAAGGGTTTATTGTTGGGAAAATTAGAGGAGGTTATTCAGTTGCTATTGCTGGGTTTGTTGCATTTCTTCCGTTTCGTCATCCGAATCATATGAGAAGGTTAACTAGTGATCGTTTTACAATTGAGAGTATTAATCTCAAATCCGGGAATATTGTGGTTTTGTAATTCTACCATCAACAAGAACAGCAATCAAGAGTATTGTTCTCTTCCTCTTGTCTTGCTTAAATTTCCATCTTACTAAACTCTTTTGAATTTGTTAGACTTTTGAATTTGTTGGATTGTGTTTTGAAAATTTATAGTTTTGGTGAATAATTTGATGATAGTTTCGGAATTCAATGGCTTTTTTTTTGTATTCTGAAGCAATTTTTGCTGCTACTCTACATTTAATGAAATTGGGTTTTTGAGTACCCCTTACAAAAGTTATGACTATCCCTTGTTGGAGAAGTGATGAGTTGTTCTCCATGATTTTTGAATAGCATTGTTGCATTTTGTGTTGATAATCTTGTGTAGATAGGGTAAACTTAGAATTATGGATAGTGCCATATCTCGGTAGCTCCTCATGTAATTTACTTAATTGAGCAAGTTAGAAAAAAGGCGTTTTAGGGAGATGCTCATTATTATCAAATTCTGAAGATTGACTATACTTTCTCATCCATTGTTTTCGTTAATTGGTATTTACGGGACATTAAGCATGTATGTAACTTGTTTGCGCTATCGCAAATTTAAAATAATTCATTCTTAGCAATTAGCTGTAATGCTGAACTAGATTACACACACATACATTAACCTATGTCTTGGTATTGATTTGGGGTTTCTGAGATTGAGCTAAATCTTAAGAAAGCCTGTTGACTTATTAGTTTTATCTGTCAATATAATCTGTCAATGAATGGGAATGTTAATGGCATTGATAAACAGAGAAGGTAATATTATGGGGAGAAGTTTGTCTGCAGCAATGCTAGGTTGCTAGAGGGATTGATACTGAGCTGAAGCTGCCCCATTGATTATCAAATAACAGCAGGTTAGTGGGACTGTAGAATGCTCCAAATTTGTAAGGGTTAGAGGTACTGCTAGCCTTGTGTGTCCTAATATAGTTATTGAACTGAATAAATTCATTTTTTTGGGGTTTAGGACTTCAGGGAACAAATAACTGATGACAAAGAGCTGATGGGTGAAAGGGATTTTAAGCTCTGTTCGGTAATTTGCTCTTGGCTCTAGCACATCGTTTCTTTAATTTTCCTCAAAATGGAAGAAGACTTTTTAATGATAGCCAGGGATATGCTGTAGGGGTTGTAGCTTAAGCTGCCTCATCTATAATTAATAATAGAAAGTAATATTGGGACATTAGAATTCTCCAATTTTGTGAGGATTAGAGATGCTAGTTAGCCTTGCGTATCCTAATATAGTTATTGAACTGAATAAGTTCATTTTTTTTATGGGAGTTTAGGACATCAAGGAACAAATAACATATGAAAGAGAGCTAATGGGATAAGGGATTTTAAGCTCTGTTGCTTGGCAATAGGCTCTAGCACATTACTTTTCCTTCGTTTGCCTCAAAATGGATCAAAACTTTTAAATTTCATTTGGAGCGATATGTTATATGGTTTCGGGATCTATCCATGTCCACAAGGCTCAAATGGCTTATAAATGCCAGTTTTGAACAGTGAGTGTACATAAAATCACTTCATTGAGGCAACACAAGTATGGTAACAGAGTATGGAAAATCTGTGTAGAAGGACAAATTTTGGTTATCATAGTTGTGATATTTTTCCTACCTGCTATTGGGCCATTGGGGAAAGGGCAAGTCTTCCTTGAGCTAACTAAACTATCTAGGAAGAATGGGTTTAGGCAGGGAATCTTCATTGAAGTGATGCTAGTCTTAAAGTAGGAAGTGTTGTGCCTCGATGATATGTTCTGGTATTTTATTGTTTAAATCTCAAAGAATTTTGTTTAGTGTGGAAAATTAAGACACCTTAATCCAGCATAATTGTTCATGATATTCGTCTGAATAGAGAAGCAAATTGAGTTATATAGACTGGTTAGCTGGTTTATTCGATACTGTTTTTGGAGTGTACTGAGTATTAATGTATAAAATGTATTAATGGGATGAGTTTGGTTTTTCCTTGGTACTTGGAGAGTTCTAGGCTTTCTTAGGACTTCGTTCTTTTCAGCTTAATTTCATTTCAATTCATTTTCTAATTTCCTTCTCTCTTAAATAATACAGTTCAGTTCAGTTTAATCTACTCAAAATCCATCTTCGTAATCTCCCTCTCTCATGAGTTCAAGCTAGCTAAAATAATTTAAGTATATGGGTGCTAATCTTGTGTTGATGTGCTGATCACGGAATTTGTAGTGCTATATCTCGGTGGCCTTACTCATGACTTAGGGATTGCAGTGGGTCAGGTTAAATAGGAGACCCGCCCCATACCCGCCCCAGTGGGGCGGGGATGGAGGGAGGTTTGGCGGTTGGTGGGGCGGGGATGGGTATAAAAATTGTACCCGCCACGGGTGATGGGGCGGGTATGGATTTTAGAGTAGACCACCCTGCCCCATACCCGCCCCAAGAAGGCATCTATATAATCATTTGTGGTATCATTACTTTGAAACTCAACTAGTTTATAACACTTGCATCAAGGTTAATGCACTGTTGTTCTTGGGATTGAACTAGTTGGTAATTATCAGCATAATTTTTCAGTACATAATATAAATATGTGTAATCTAGTTGATAATTATCAATAGTCAAGGGTGGAAGTTTTTATGGATTTGAAGCTTACCACTCAATGGAGTCCCTGATTTAGTAGTCCTTTTTTACTTTGGATACTCTTCACATAAATTAGTAGTCCTTTTTTACTTTGGATACTCTTCACATAAATTAGTAGTCCTTTTTTTCTTGGTTAATTTTACTTCTTTAGTTGTACTTTTTCCTTTATTTATTTTAGTTTACATGTTTTTGATTTTGACACTATTTACATAAATTGTGTAGTTTTTTTTCCCCTTCGGTGGTAAGAAAAAAAGTCATATGAAGGTCTTGTTAATTTCGTTCTAACATTTTATTTTTCAAATATTAAAGTTTTATAATTTTTACTTGCATATACATTTGTATGTGATTATGTATACACAAACATGCCTAAATAAAATGTGTGAGCTAATAGCCTAATATAAAACGGAAAAAATACTCACATCGAACATGCTATTGAACATGGGCTGTAATTTGTTACTTTCTCCGTTCTGTTAATATTGCAACAAGGAGGAAATTACGCATCTCGAAACACCTTTTATATGCTAAATATCTATAATTGTGTAAGAGTAAAAATTATAAAAAGTTGATATTGTGAAAGTATTTTATGAGACAAATCTAACAAGATCCCACTTGACTATATTTTGCTTAACGTATAACTCATATTATATGGTCAAACAAGAGTGATGAATAGTGCAAAAAATCTATTGTTGCAATATTAATAGAACGGAGGAAGTATATTTTATCTTGTAGTTTTATAAAGAGGGTATGTTCCTCTTTCCATGTTATGTTATATATGCGTGTGTTAGGGGAGAAATGTGGGCATTGTTTAGCGTTTCACTTTATCTTTTTTTTCTTTATGGGCTTAGCTCGAGCCCAACTTAAAATTGAGGCTCGTTGTATAGCCTATTTTTACTGAACTCTAGCTGAGCCCGCCGAGCCTATCCATATTGACTATTGAGGCTTGGCCTTTAAGTTATTATGCATTTGTAGTTTTGTGCTTATTTGTTAATAATTAAATATGGTTCCCTAAAAAAAAAATTCTAATGACGGAAGTTTTCCAATTACAATCGTGAAAAATCAAAATGATTAATTTAAATAGAAATGGAGGTAGTTCTTACTAAGAATACTAACATATAGCAATTATACGATTTAAAATTTCTTAATACCCTCAAACTTTAGTTGTTAATTTAAATAGAAATGGAGGAAGTACTTACTAACCTATCAATTATACAATCTTACATTCTTAATACTAGTTAGGTGTGAAAGTTCGGTTTGCGGTGTGATTTATAGCCCTAATTGAAACCAAATCATATTAATTCGTTTTTATGAATTTTCAAACATAACGCATCATATTACTATTAAAACCAAGCCAAACCACATTTATTTAAATTCGGTTTTTCAAAAGAAAATTGTATCACATCGAAATTTTTCATCTGCTTCCTTTTTGTTCCATTTAACTGATCATTCATTCCAACATTGCCCACATTTGTTGACATTATTAGACTTAAAAAAACACAAAAATTTATTAATTTTTTGACTTTAAGTGTAGGGTAGAAATTTGTATAGGGGTAGGCTATAATTTGGATAGGCCATAATTCGGTTTGGATTTCGATTTTTGGTTATTCTAATCTTAAAACCGAAACCAAACCATATTAACTCGATTTTGGGATTCCTCAAACAGCACCGAACGATATCAGGGCCTGTTTTGATTTAATGAACTGAACTGAACTGATTAGAGATGAACTGGACTAAATTGTAATGAATAGAGCTGAAATGAATTGTTTGTAATGAATAGAGCTGAAATGAATTGTTTGGAACAAAAAAATAAAAATCGCACCACATTTCTAATACGATTTGGTTTAGTTTTAAACCGTATTAGTTTCTCCCCTAATACTAGTACCTTTAAAATTTAGTTATTTAAGTGTTGTTGATTGTTAAAGCCACCATATTATTGTGTGGGTAATTTCAAGTTTCTCTTCTTGATAAACAAGAAGCGTTTCCCATGTGGGTAAATTTGGAATTACCTTGACGGAGTGAACCTAACGTTACCCCCCTTGTTCAACTTACCCCCTTTTGCAATTCACCTCTGTCGTGAGTGTCGTCAGTAGTAAGTACTACCCAGAATGGGCAGAATCTAGTTCCCACCTCCGGCGATAAATCGTCAAAAGCGGGAGACCAATCAGAAGTGTCGATCAATAAAAAGAACGGCTAACAGTAGGAATAAGCTTCAATGGAGGAAATTGAGTTTAAAAGGAGGAATTCAAACTCGATGACATCTTCAATGGAGGAATTCAAGCTCGATGACAGCTTCAATGGAGGACGGTCACCCTTACCCTTTTGGGGTTGACCATGCCATAAATTTTACCCTTTCTTATTGGGTTTTTTGTTTGATTTTGGCGGCGAAGCCACCTATGTTTGTCGCCGATAATGGTGATTGTCCCCTGTGTAGACGAAAGAGGAAGATGATGGTGTTGGTGGGGACGAAAGAGAGAGGTGATGGTGGAGGTGTTTGTTGTCGGTGAAGGTGAAGACAAAGCTACAGTACAATGGAATGCTGCTAACGTTACCATCTGACGTCGTCTTCAGTACCCACGTGACTTGCTTCAACGGAACTCACAGTCAACATTTATTCAGCTTTAAAAACCATTTGTTTACAATTCCCTAGGCATTTTTATTACACATTTGCCACTAGAGAAACACCTCTTGTTTCTCAAGAAGAGAAACTGGGGCGCCTCCATTATTGTGTTGATAACTTTGATTGTTGAAACAACTCAACGATATCGCGATCTTTAAAACAAGTGAACAAGAAAGCCGATGATAACTAGATAATGAAGCAGTATGAACCATAAATATAACGAAGCTCGCCAGCTCGGAGCATGATTTGATACATAATCAACAAATCATTTTTCATGTATCATACAAGTATTATATATGGATTTGGAGTTTGTAATTACTTGATATGAAACAAAAGTTGCTATAACCTCCAATAGTTTAATACTGTTTGCAATATAAATAAAATTAAGTTACATGCTTGTCATTGAAAAACAAATAAGCGAACAACTTGCAAGTCACGGTATGAAATTTTTATCGTGGAGGTGGATGCACATGCATCCGGTTTTCTTTAAAAAAGGCGGAATAAACATATAGTTGTTCAGTAAAGAGCATATAGTTGTTTTGTAAAGAAAATATAGTTATTTTATAAAGAACATCATATATGGTTGTTTTGTAATGAACATATAGTTGTTTTGTAAAAAACATATAACTATTTTGTAAAAAAAAACATCCAACTTTATGTTCTTTGTATATATCTAAAGAACATCCGTAATATTAATAAAGAGCATGATAATATAATGTAATGAATATTATTTTTATTCAAAAAAAATAAAAAAAAAACAGAAAGAACATAATACGAAGCAATATTTTTTAAAGAACATCTATTTTTTCAATCTTTAAATGAATTATTTGTTCCATAATTGAAGAATTTTGGTGATATTTCCCAATCTCAATTTAGAAACTTGTATATTTCTTCATATTTAATTTCACTTGTTTGAATTTTTTAGAGAGAGGAATAAAAATCTTAGAGACATATAGAAAATTTATAGAGAAAAAGAAATTGTTCTGATAGAACTCATAGAAGATGATGGTTGTGCATTAGATCGAGTTTTGTAGTGCTTTTGATCATTGTTTTGTTAATGGAGTGATTTTTAATGAAGGTGAATATGTGGATTTGTTAATCAAAGATCGAAGGTAATTTTGAATGAAATTTTGTATTTTTTTTTCTTTAATTGTGTTACTTTAGATTTGAATTAGAATATTTTGTAATCATAAAATTCATTGTTTATTTTCCTTTTTGAAATTTGATGAATCTGGATATATGTTGAATTTGAGAATAATGTGACAAAGGTTGAAGATGATGTTCTTTATAAGATAGTGTTATGTTCATTTCTTTAATCTTTACAATTCTGTAACAGGTTCTTTTCACTTTAACTAAATGTTATTTTCATTTTAGCTAAATGTTCTTTACATCTCTATACAATGTTCTTTTTTTATTTATTATTTTTTTTTTGGAATGGATGCACCATGCTCGTGGTACATCCGTCTCCACGAACCACTAGTTGGTCACGGTATAACAAACAAGCTGCACGTTTGATTAGAAAAGAAACAATTAAACTTCACTCATATTGTGACATGTGTATAATCGTTTAATAATAATAATAATAATAATAATAATAATAATAATTATTATTATTATTATTATTATTATTATTATTTTTCAAACTACAAGATATTGTATGTCATCATTGAAACACTTTGTAGCTAAATTATTGTAGCTCGAAAATTGATGTAGTAAAGCAAGTTATAAGACATTGTAGTTTACTATTGGAGATGCTCTAAAAAGTTTACAACCCGACTAAGGGCTTGTTCTCATTGACTGAACTGAATTGAACTGAATATTTTATAAGAGAAGGAAATTAGGAACTGAACTGAACTGAACTGAACTGAGATGAACTGAACTGAGCTGAGCTGAACGGAACTGAACTAAATTTCAACGTAAGAGAACATGCCCTAAAATTAACCAAATCGAACCATTCGATTAATACCCTTCCCTTACTTCAACTTGAAAATCTAATAAGCCCATGTCAACTCATCTTGACCAAATTTGGTCTATACTTGATTTATGTCTCATTTAAGAACCAATTCAATTATAATACAAACCGATATGAACTTGAACTCGCATCCGCTCTCCTGACCAAACTCATATCCAACTAACCTGATCATAACTCTAATCTATTATGATCCGATCCTAACTGAAATCCTACAATAATAAACTAAAACTGATCTGAACTGCTGATTCTCAAAACCGACTCAATCTAACTCGCCAACCAAATTAACCCGTATCAACCCGAACCAAAATCAAACCTTAAACCCGAATCAACAGTAATTGAATTTTTAGTGGTGTCGGACAAGACATTCCACAATAAATTGTTTCACCTAGCAAGCAAAATTCAGATTTATAGGGATTTTGGGAAGATATAGATATATCATATATGTAATCTATGTATCCTGTCCCAGCACTAAGCCCAAGACAGCATAGAATGACCCAAACCCCTGACCTTTCTGTTCCCTCCACTTTATTACCCTATAACTCTCCTTTTGTCAATTGCCTTTTTAATTCTCCACTTTCCAAAACCTCCTACTTATTATTTCCAATAATTTTCACTTTAAAATCTTTGAGAAACCAAAGGAAGAATTCTACACCATTTCTAATTTTCCATAAATTAATTGCCCTTTTCATTGCATATTCTTGGGCATTAATCTGCCGCCATTAGAAGAGAAAATGAATAGAATGATTGAGAAATCAAAGGAAGAATTACAAATGCTTGAAACTAATCATCCTTATCGTTTTGATTACCTTAAAAATGAGCTTAAATCATTTATCACTCTTCTAGAATCTCAATTTCTTCCTGAACCTTTGCCTACTACTTCATCTACCACCACTCAAGGTTTGTTCTTTTTTTTTTTTTTTTTTTTTTTCGGGTTTTTGTTTCGTTCTCAATTACTCCTTTTTGTTTGGAATTAATTGTCACGTTCATATTGAAATTTGAATTTGAAATGTGACAACTAAATTACTTTTATATATTTTTTTTTCTAACTTATGGAATGTCAATAAATTCTAATTCATTATTTTATTTTGTGCGTTTTGCAGCATCAACAAGTATGAAGAGGAAAAGGGTCAGTTTGAAAAGGAGGAAGGTGGAAAATGGAGGATGGGAAAATGATTATAGTAAAATTGAATATAATAATATAAAGGTAACTAGTCATAGAGATAGAGTTGATGTTGTTCTTGAAAAGGCTCAAGCTTGTTTGTGTAAGATTCAAGAGTACAAATGTAGTATGGTGTTTGCTGAATAAAATTTCAATAATATGTAGTATGGTGTTTGTGTAAGGTTCGGATTCGATAGGACAATTATATTTACAGAGTACTCCGTACTGATTTTGAATAAAACAATTTTTTGTAACGAGTTGTATAGGGTATTATGCTCAATCTTTGTGCTACTTTGCTAGATTGTGGCCATGTTTGGTAAATGACTTTTTAATGGCTTTTTGGTTAGCTTTTGACTTTTGTCTTTTTTAGATGGTCAAACAGCAAAAAAATGTGTTTGGTAATTGACTTTTTAGTCAATGAAAAAGTAAATGTGTTTGGTAATTGACTTTTTAGTCAATGAAAAAGTTGGCTTTTAAGCCAAAATGAAAAAGCTGTTTTGAGTAGCTTTTCTGTTGCCTTTTGGTTTGTTGGCCCACAAATTATCTAATAAACAGCCAACAACCAATAATTAATTTACCAAACACATTTATAAACAGTCAGCTTAAACAACCAATTTTAAAAGCCATTGTAAACAACCAAATATTGGTCAAACAAGCCAAGTGAACCAGCCAACAGCTAACCACCAAAAGCCATTTGTCAAACAAGGCTTGTGTGTTCTTGGCTTCTTGCCCTTGTTGGGGTCATTGAGTGGTCACATCGATAACTTTTTGGGTTCTTGGGTTGACTAAGTCCTTTGATTAATCCATAAGGAAAAGAAATTGATACACATTTTACAAATGGTAGGAGCATTCCTAGACTCCGAGCATATTATAACTATTGGAGTAATAATTTAACGTTTTGGAATTTGTATGCTAAAATGCCCAATTAATGAGAAGACCGAGTAATATGCTAGTTGATGTATAGGAGTTGTGGCTGTGGCCACTTGTGGCTGCTACCAAAGAACAAGTGAGTCCTTCTAGTTTGAATTTTTTACAAGTATATACATTTTGGATGTAAAGTGACTTAACGTTAGTTTTTGTCATTTGATAGTTAGGGCTTAGGGGTACCAAGGATTAGTCATCAAAACAAGTAAATTTACCTTTGAGTGTACTACTATACACCAGAGTTTATTTAAAAATATTTGTATTTCTACTTTTATTCCTTCTGTTTTATATTAATTCACAACACTTTTCTTTTTCATCTGTTTTATATTAATTGCAATACTTTTTATTTGAAAATAATCCACCATTATTTAATAATCTCTCTCCTACTAAATCTACTTTAATAAGTGTTTCATAATTCTCTTTCTTACCAATCCCAATTACATTTCATTTTATTATTTCTCTCTCTTAACAATATTTTATATTATAAGGAGTAAAAAATTCACTTTCAGGCTCCACATTATAAAATTTCTTTAATATTATGAATACCATAGGTGTTGCGATTAATACGAAATGGATGGAATATTGATTATCTTATCTTGAATTTCGTTGCTTTTCACAATATGAAAAAAAAAATTATAAGACCATCTCCATTAGCGAGACTCGACTTAGAGTATTGAAATACAAAATAAGGGCCTGTTCTCATAGACTGAAATCAGCTGAAATGAATATTTTATAAGAGAAGGAAATTAGGAGTTGAACTGAACTGAGCTGAGCTGAGCTGAACTGAACTGAAAATAAACTTATGAGGACTGGCCCTAAGTTGTTTTTTTTACCTCCAATGGTGATGTCCAATCCACTTCTCAATTTAGCAACTTCTGTGAAGTTTTTTTTTTTTTTTTTTTTTTTTTTTTTTTTTCCAATGGTGAGACTCTCTAAAGTATACTAATGTCAATTTTAATTTATGGTCCACCAAATTCATAATACTCCTCTATCCCATAATATAGTTTCTGTTTTCCTATGCAGATCTAAAATGTTGTTCCTGTTTCTATTTTTGGATAGTGTGTAAATTTCATTATACCCATAATTTTTTTAACACTATTCCTTGTACTTCCTAATTTACCCTTGAATGTTGCACATATTTTATACTACCTCTATTAACGGTTATTTGCAACAAATGGGATATGCGTGGACTCCTAGGCAAAATTTTTAAGGAGTGTTTAAGTGAGAATAATTGATAGAAGGGCATGTGATTAGTTCATTAAAAGGGAGGGAAAGGGGGACCCGTATTTTTATAAGGTGGAGAGAGAAACTGAATTTTTTGGTAGTTTGCAATCTTCCCACCAAAAATTTCATCCACTTTTCGTACTTTTCATTTTTTCACATCTAATTTTTCCCTCCACTTGAAATTTTCATTCAAGAGAGACTATATAAACCTGCAGACAACATTTTCAGTTCAAAATATTCTTACAAACCAAAAGTCATCTCCTTAACCAAATTACACCATGTTTTCATGACAAAAGCAAACACTAAGCTACTCCTCTAAAATTAACTAATGCTAGGTTAGTAGCAGCATCCTTCATCTTCTAAGGTAAGTCTGGCTCCGCTTGAGCACTTAAAAAAAAACCCCCCCACTTTATCACCAATCTTCAGCTCTGTAAGCAACAACAAATCAGAATTTTACAAAATATCAGAATTATTTGATGATGGTTTTTTTTTTAGCTTAGATCAATTGATAAATGACGAAGCTAATATGGAAGACATTGAGTCAAGCAGCAATAAATAAACTAATGAGAATACTCAAAATTAGATTCATGAAGAAACACCACAGCAGGGCAAAGGCAGGAAGCAACTTACTGTCATGCAAAAAAGAGAGCTTGTAGATGCTATACTACACAAGTTAGATGGGGAGGATTTGCCAAGGGGGTTTTATCACAACAAGCAAGAAAGTTTAATGTTCACAGATCAACCACACAAAGGCTTTTCAAAGAAATAAAAAGACAAATGGCTGAAGGGAATGTGATAGATGTCAGATCCAAGAAGCTGGGCAAAACTGGACCAAAACCAACTGAGTATACAGATGAGTTTCTACAATCAGTCCCTTTGTACAAAAGGACAACTGAAAGAAGCTATTGAGCTGCTCTCAAAATCTCACATGTTACCATTCATAAGTTAAAGAAAAAAGGTAGGCTGAGAACACATACAGCTACCAATCATCCATCTCTTACATCCAACCACAAAATAGCAAGACTCAAATGGGTTTTAAATCATCTACTGCCTGCTGAACAGAATGCTGACCCAAAGATTGATAATATGCAACAACACATTCACATAAATGAAAAGTGGTTCTACTTGAACCCAGAAACAAGGAGGTTTTACTTGCTCCCTAATGAACCAAATCCGTATCGATGCCAACAGTCCAAAAGATTCAAGGTCAAGGGGATGTTCATGACAATGATTGGTAAGTCAATTTTTGACATACATGGACAAGTATTACATGATGGAAAATATGGTATTTTTTCATTTGTGTATGAGACTATTGCAAAGAAAAAAAGCAAGAACAGTGAAGTTGGGGCTGTGGAAATTAAAGCTAATCAGAATGTAAACAAAGAGGCAATCAAAGAAATGCTTCTCAACAATTGCATTCCTGCAATCAAAGAGAAGTGGCCTGCCCATCTGCCCAAGGACATAACCATTTAGTGGGATAATGCCAGACCCCACCAAATTCTTAAGGATGAGGAATTCTTAGCTGCATCTCAGTCAGATGGGTTTAATATTTAGTTCATCTACCAGCCAGCATAGTCACCAAACTTGAATTTGCTTGACTTAGGATTCCCACAGCCTACAAGTTCATCATCATTCATCATTTCACAATTCCCACAGCCAATGACACTAATGAACAACCAACCAAAATCCAAACACAAGCCAACAATTGCAAACAGCAGCCAACATATCAACCATCAATACCCAGTAAATTAACAACAACAGCTAAGAGCAGCCAACACTAATCAATGGGACTCATGGAGTGACACACATATGTAGGCAACAACATTGTTCTCTCTTAGATTAGTCATTGAGAACACTCATTAAGGGACTCATACATGAAGGGACTGCCTAATACACACACACACAGCCTACAAGTTCATCATCATTCATCATTTCACTATTCCCACAACAAATGACACTAATGAACAACCAACCAAAATCCAAACACAAGCCAACAATTGCAAACAGCAGCCAACATATCAACCATCAATACCCAATAAATTAACAACAATAGCTAAGAGCAGCCAACATATCAGCCAAAAATAGACAGAACATCCAACATATACCAGTAATTACCAACTGAAAACCATAATCTGCCAACATATACCAGAAACAAGCAACAATTACAAGCATTTATCCATAGTATAGCCACAAATTCACAATAGTAGCCCACAAATCATCAACATCAACTAGCAATGATACTTACTGTATATAAGCCATATTAGAACAACAACGGAACTCAAAATAAAGAGCATGTAATTCAAAGAATTTAAAGGTCAGAAAAGGGTTACGCTGCGAATTTAGTATGAGCATTAGTTGGAAGGGTTGCAGTCCCCCCCAACATCATCTTCATCGGCGTCAGGGGAGCCAGATCTACCCCTTGTTTGCCAGAAACAGCACCGTCGACCTTCTCAGCAACAGAACCGTTGACCTTCTCAGCCATCGTCTCGTCGGTCTTGTCAGACTTATCAACGAACAAAGAAGGTTCAACATCCTTCTCGGCACTAATCTTAGCCAGATCTGCACCTTTGGACCCCATGACCTTCGTCATCGGAGTCTAAGGATCCAGCTTCGCACCGCCACCAAACCTCCGTTTCCTGTCCAAGTAAATTGCGGTTTTGGTGCCGATCAACCTCATTTTTCCGGTACGACGGTTACATTTGTAGGTCGCAATAACATCCAGATATGGGTTGTTCTCATTTGGGGAACTCATTTTTGGTTGATTTTTCAAAGAAGGAAGTAGATCGGAAGACAAGGGAGATGAAGTTCAAGAATTAGGGTTTTAAAAAAAAGAGGAGAGAGAGTGTGGTCACCTTAATCAGAAAAGGAGAAGAGAGAGGGAGTTGAGATCTGGAACGTTCTCCAGATTTAAAGGCTTCAATAGCCTTATTAATGGAGGTGGTTGGAGGTTGAATAGACGAGGTTGGTGGGAAGATGAATGATGATTTAATGAATTGAAGAGAGAAGGGATCGAGATCTTTATTTTTGGTGGGAGCCATTAGATTAGATTTGTAGATAAGTGAGATAATTAATAACTGTAGGGAATATTTCAAGCATTATCCCCTAGCTTGAACCCCACTGTGATCATACACTTAAGTACGGTGGCGTCCCAAAGGGAAGAAGATAGAGCAAAAGAGTCGCCAACAAGTTTTAAGAACTTGTAAACCGTTCACAGGGTGAAGGTTACACCCCTTAACGATCCAAGAGATCGTCAACTCCATAAGGTCTTGAACCAAATAAGGGTTCGGGGATGAAGGTACAAATCCAACCTAAAAGAGATTGAACCTGCCCTAATAATAGGCCTCTACTTTATTCTGATCGTATTCATGTGCACTTTTTGATTAACATGCAATCAATAGGATTAACCCTAAACCTGTTTATCTATGTTGGTTGAATATTAATGCACAAACAAATCTATTATTGGAGATTACTTGAAATATAATCATATTAACCCTAAATAAGATTATTAATTATCTTATTAAGCGTGATTACAAGTACAAATTCCCTTTAAACATGCATAAAAGGTGTGATCAAGCAATAACAATAAATATATAATAACAAGCAACATAAATAATAATCATAATAATAATCAAAATTATAATCATAATAATAATAATATTCATAACCATCATAAATTATAACAATTATAATCATAATCATGTTCATGTTAATATTAAAGCATAATAATAGCAAGATCCTAAGCATGATACTAACAAGATTAATAACAAACCCTAGCATGTCACTAAGCAATAAAAATCAAATCTTTAACCCTAACATGATACTAACAATCATAAATATTAAGAAGAAAATAGGAAGCATCGCAGGAATCATAATAAGCATATTTGATATTATAACTTTTTCCCTAAACATGATACTAAGAATATCATAATAACAATATAAACATGATTTCTACATCATAATATCAATTAAAACCATTAAAGTACTTACTTTGATGCCTCGTACCTATTTCTAATAACAAAATACACACGTTAGTAACTTCAAGGAAAATAATAATCAAAACAATTAAATTAAATAATTGAAATAGAGATTTGGGACCAAACCCTCAGAAATTAAACCTTTCACGTCTAGGGCAAAGGCAACTTCGAATATGGCTAGGTGTTTCTAGATCTTGTGAATGCGGAATTTTGTATGTAAAAGGAAGGTTTTGAAAAGAGAAAGATGAACGAAGGATTAAGGAAATCTTGATGAGAATTAGCGAACTGATTGTAGGTGAATATAGATGAATGTTGATGAGAATTGGTGAATGAAAACCGAGTTTTTAATACGTTATTTATAGAGAAAATCAGCCAAAAAGATAAATTAATAGAACAGAGTCCTGGCGTAACCGAAACAGAGCTGGCGCCAACCCTGGCTAACTGGCGCTAGGCACCAACACTAGCGCCAGGCGCCAAGCCTGGTTCTAGGCGCCAATGCCCGGAGTCAGGCGCCAGGCCTGTTTTTGACGCGTTTTCGAAAATCAGACAAGTTTGCCGTACTGGAGGATAAAATCGTATCTTTTCCTCGAAAATGCTTTTTAATTTTAATTAAAACTCTGAAAAGTCAACAAAAAGTCAATTTATCAATGCTAATTGAATTAGGAATGAAAAGAACCTTCTAGAAGAATCTAGAAGACTAAAACCATTCCTAATTGCATTAGGAATGATAAATCATATTAGGCCCTCCCCTAGATCATTGGGCCGCACATAAAGCTCAAACCGGGCCCAGTTTAGTAAATTGGCCATAACTTCCTCAATATTCATCGAAATTGAGCTTATAATATATTGTTGGAAACTCTTGTCAAGCCCCATCCAACTACACTACTATTGGACCCATATCATGGACCAACCAAACTGGATTGACTTTTTTCTTAAAATAAGTTTTCAAAAACAGAGAGAAGAGAAAAGAAATTAAAATTATCCACAACACTAGACTTTCCACACTTTCGCTTCATTCGATTATGATTCGACGTGAAAGGTACTCATCACCGATTTTGGTTTTGTGGAGACACAAATGGGTGTCTACAATAACATAACAAAATGAGTTAGGAAATAATCAGTTTATAATAAGGGCAAGAAGGTCATTTTATCACCCAAAAAGCTACTAAAAAAGGAAAAAAAAATAATATTGTTGCAAATAAAGTTAGCACTTATTTTGGGTAAATGTTGCAAATAACCGTTAACGGAGGTAGTACTTTTTTCCACTTTATCTCTTTAACTCTTGCCTATGATAGTACTTTTCACTTTTATAAATGTTTTTTTATTCACTTTCTCCTCCTATTTCTTAAATATCGTGAAAAAAAAACACAAAGAAGAACTATATTACGAGATGGAGGGAATATAAGTTTTTCAAAAAATAAAACTTAAATAAATTACAAATATATTATATAATATTGATAAAGGGTCCACACTTTTTGTCAAATGAGATTCAAATTAGAGTATCTAAACTTAGCAACTTTCTTTTGGAGTTGCTTAATTTAGATACCAAAGTATTGGTAATTTTTGCAATAAAAAAAAAACTCTTAAAAGAATTTTTCAAGTCTCACCGTTAGAAAATATATAAGAATCTTGAATATATGCACGTAACCTAATCAAATTTTGTTATTCTTATTAATTAAAAAATATACAATTTACTTTAGTTCATCTGCCATAAAAAAAATCTTTGTGTAAGGCCTACTATTGCGATAAATATGAAACAGAGGAAGTATGTCTAAATCTCAAAAATCAAGATGTTGAATAATGTATACTACCTTCGTTTCAATTTCTTTGCAATGATGTGACATGGGCTATCATTTAGATAAAATTTGTTTGTAAGTGGTAAATAGGGAAGGAAAAATAAAGTAGCATATGATGGGAGTGATAGAAAAAAATGACAAATAAAAAGGAAAAGAAAACATTTGTTGAAAACACTTTGTCGTATTCAAACACGAGGGAGAGAAACTCACAGTCCACAATGAGGTTCCATTCTAAAACCAATTGACAATAGGAGGAGTATCCCGATTGGGTTATAAACAACTAACAACCCTTTACTTTCTTTTTCAATGTGGGATAAACATTTCTTGCACCTAACAATCTCCCCCTCAAGTGTGAGCCTATACACCCCCCCTTGAACAAATTTGCACCCAGAACCTATATAGCCCAACTCTAAGGCAAGGTGGCACTCACAGATGGTCCTTAAAGCCATAAGACCTAACACAGATGGTGCGATGGGATCAAAACTGGCTATGATACCAGTTTGTTATAACACATAAGGGTAACACAAGGGAGAGAAACTCAGAGCCCACAAATCAGAACCCACAACGAGATTCCATCCTAAAACCAATTGGTAATAGGAGGAGTAGCTCGATTGGGTTATAAACTAATGAATTGTTATGATTTACTAAACTGAAATGAATTGAATTGAACTGAATTGAATATTCTATGAGAGAAGGAATTTAGGAAATGAAATGAACTAAACTAAAATAAGTCGGAGAGAACATATTCTAAAAGCCCTTTACTTTCTTTTTCAAGGTGAGTTAAACATTTCTCACACTTGCACCTAACAATCTTCCCCTTAAGTGTGAGCTTATACACTCCCCCTTCCTTAAAGGCATAAGACATAACCTAAATGGTGCAACCGGATTAAACTTGGCTCTGATACCAGTTTGTATAACAGGTGGGGGGAAACAAGGGAGAGAAACTCAGAGCCCACAAACCAGAGTCCACAACGAGATTCCATCCTAAAACCAATTAGCAATAGGAGTAGTAACTAGCTTGGGTTATAAACTAAAAGCTCTTTACTTTCTTTTTCAATATGGGATAAACATTTCTCACACTTACACCTAACAATTATGATAAATGTTGCAAATATATGAAAATATAGAAGTAGTATAGATGATATTTTATATCCGTCTTAGCGTGAGTTCGGTCTCTCACAATACTTTTTCTTACAATCACTAAATTTGAAAATTCACAAAACTTGAAAAGCAGTAAATAATAAGTTCAAGTGTGTATTATTATTTGTTTTTTTTAATAATCCAGATGGGATTTCTAATTTGAAAATCAAGATAAAACTAAAACGACATCAATAAAATTATTGATGTGCTTGAATAGTTGAATTTACCAATTGAACAACTAATGGTTGTCCAATTCTTTTCCAAAAATAAAAATGTCTTTCGACGGTTTAGTACCCACACTCTTACTCTTCATGTAATTAACCTTCATAGATTCACCACCATCATACAACACTGAATCTAATTGCAACTTTTTTCCACCAATTCCATAATGTTCATTGCATAGTATCCTATGATCATAACCACGATGAAAACTAGTATTAGATGGTTTGTGATACCGAAAAGAGCTAATCTCCCCTTCGATTCTCCCTCGTATATCAACAAGCAAACACTTAAGCCCCGAAATCTCAGCATGCAACGCGCGCTCACCTTCTAGTCTCTTTAACAATTGTTGATTTGAATCCTTTAACTTTTGAATCTCTTCCTCTAGGATGGCTTCTCGTGCCTTAATCTTTTCACGGTACTTACGTACAGCTTCTCTATTATTACATCCTTGATCTTTCCTTCTCCGTTTTTTACCTTTATGTTCGTTGATGAGCACAAAATCGTCGTTGTCACTACTCTTCTCTTCATTATTAGACGAAGTATGTAACACATTAGTTTGCAAATGAAAGTCATCATGATGTGTAAGGTCGCGATCTTCACCTAAGTCACGAGTATTGGTATCGGTACAAACATGAGTATCTTGCAACAATTCCTCTAATATGTTGTCCATGGATGCACTATGAGGAAGTTCACCCATGTCTGTAACGGAAAACATATCCAAGTTTGAAAAATCAAGGTTTGTGTCATCTATTGTTGGCATGTTGCTATTGCAACTATTGTTGTTGGTATTGTTGCCATTTCCATAATATTGGTTATTGTTTTCCATCAAAATTCACCTAAAAAAATTAAATGAGATATTCAAAAAATAATGCGCACATGATTATATAAAGGACTATAAAGAATATAAGTAAAACAATGTTAGAATCACAATTGGATTATTTGGGCTTTTGACATAATTTGGATATTAGTAATGTTGACCTTAATTAATTTTTCATTGTTGCATGTCTTTCTTGAATGTCTAAGAGATTATGTGTTTTTAATTTGTATACCTTATCGACATATTGAAGGGTTATTTTTAATATACTTATACATCTATCAAGGATTATATAGAAAAAAAAAAAAACACCCCTTATCAATATATGCTTGTATTGGAAATTATATCTTGCTATTAAAGTGTCAAATATTATACAGTATAATTTTGTACTTCGCATTAAAGCTTAATTTTGAGTTTAATTCAGTATAATGACGTATTTTAGAAATTTGATACCAACAACACCGTCAATGACCTTAAGTAGTCTAACTTTTAAACATAGAATGATCCCAACTTTAAAATTTGTCTTTTAAAAAAGTCTTCAATCAAAGATAACCTACGAAGTACTCGTTTCAAACTGGTTAAAAGTACTCAAGTACTCCATGGCACATTTTCAATGGCACTTCATTTATTTTAGTTATTTTTCGGAATAAAATCCTTCACCATTACAAGAGGATATTACAAATGGATTGAGAGAGTGAGTGATTAATTTTTTTCTGCAAGAAGTCCAACTATTGCCATAAAATTAAAGTTCTTTCAAATTAGAAAAAAAAAAAAAGAAGGTTACACGGAAGTAACAATTTGATTTGATAATTTAAAAGTTTATATAATGACTAATTATGTGTTTCTTAGTGTAATTATCATGAAAAATGGTATGCGAATAGCGTAAAATAATAAAAGTAGTGATATACTCCGTATAATGAACAAAGGAAGTACTCGTAATGAAAATTAGAATCCGTACCTATTGTTGATAAAGCTCTTGAAATTGAAGATAAAAATGATAACGATCAGCAACGTTGTCAACAAGAGAGAGAAAAATAGAGAGTAATGAATGATTAAGTTATGATGAGCAGACTTTATATAAATACACAAAAATTGAAGGCAAATAGTTTGACATCGTTTACAGATTCCCTTAGTTTGTTAATTGTAGTTGTCATTGATGTGTAATTCAGCGGGCACTTTCATGCTTTTTTCATTTCAAATTTAGACCTACCAAATTAATTAAACTGAAAATAATGAATAAATTTGACATTAACTAATATTTTGTAATATTATAACAAGTTGATTGAGTACATGATATCGTACTAATGTACCCTATCATAATTTGATTCTTTGATTACTACTATTATGGCTTTATTAGTTAATATTTTAGAGGATATTTTAGATTAGACATTGTTGGTTTGAACTGGAGTGGTGAAGATCACGTCCATCTTTGTAGCAACGGCAGCCAAGTCTTTATCAATTGTTGCCATTCATTATGCTTTGTTTATTCATAAAGAGTATTTTTTAAAAGGTTGGGAAAAGAAACATTAGAAAACAATCCTCACGAAAGGATTCCAAATGTGGCCATAATGTTTAAGTACAATTAAATAGTTTTAAGGGTCTGTTCTCTTACGTTGAAATTCAGCTCAGTTCAGCTCAGCTCAACTCAGCTCAGTTCAGCTCCTAATTTCCTTCTCTTATAAAATATTCATTCAATTCACTTCAGCTCAGCTCAGCCAATGAGAACAGACCCTAATTGTTTGTTTGGTTAGATCTTAGAGGTGAAAAGAATTAAAGAGAAAATTTTACTTCATAGGAAATGTCAGAATTTGATTGATTGAACATAAAAAGTTCTACTTATGGTGGCTACGCAAGGGATTGACTTCTGTTTTGGGTGTTTTTGTCCTTCGGGAGAGTTACGTCACAAAATCTGGTCCGACGTGAGCTGTACCCGCAAAACAACGGAGACTCCGAGTGGTTGGAGCTCCGTCTCCGACGATCAAGTTAGTAACTTGAATAGGAGTAAGAAGGTGCGGAAATTTAGGTGGGTATCAGCTTGGATTCCAAGCTCAAGATGTCTCTTTCAAAGAGTAAATGTGTAATAAATGGTAAAACATGCTTCCAAATGGAGGAAATCTCCCTATTTATAGGATCCTCGAGAATTGTGCCCCTGATTAGGTCATCAAGCTCTAATCATTGGTGGGCTGTGCCGCATTGCGATTTTCTCGGGATTTGTGCCATGAAGGCCGCCTTTTTCCCATTTCTTTGGGATGACACATGTCAAACAGGGGTTGGTCCATTTTGGACTAACCTTAGGGTGACACGTGTCACTTTTTGGTTGGACCACGTGGCAGGGTAAAATTACCCCAAACATTTGCCCCTCACAGATGTGACGTGGCATTCCACGTGGCATCTGTGACACATGTCACTCTTCCATTGGGGGTGATTTTATAGCCAGTTTTGACTGTTCACCTTCTACGAAAATTACAGATATGCCCCCGGATTTACCCCTATACGTAGCCGTTTACCCTCATTATTTTGTACGTTTACAAAAACTTTAAGAGAGATAAACTTAGAGAGAGAGAGAGAGAGAGAGAGTTTGCTTTTATGTCTGTGTTAAGTGCAAACAATCAAGCTCGTTCCCGTCTACCGCAACCAGTTCCGTCTTACCTTCAGATATCAAATCTAAAGGTACCGTCTCTGTCTCTCTCAGCTCTTTTCATTTTTTCTGCTTGTATATATTTCTTGTAATAAATGGATGCATTAACAACACACACAACACATCCTAGGTTAGAGTCCAACCGGTCTCCGGGTACGGCTGAGTCTAGGACTAGGAGTGCCGCCTCGAGGTGTTGGGACCACCCTTATGCTTGGAATCCGACCATCCGTGTGTCTGTGTAAGACACTATGGCTCGGACAATGCAGACGACCATAGATCTTGATTATAGGAGCGAGGGCTCAGTCGGGCAACCTCCTGAGGGGGAGACGTTAGGTAGAGAAAACCCGACTGCTGCTGTGAGGTCCCATCCGCGTGCCCCTTCAACCCCTACAGATTCCTTCCTCGATGAATGCGATAAGGGGGACGGTGAGGAAGCCGTCTCTATGCCCTGCTCGCAGCATGAGGAGTCATCTGGAGAAAGCTCCGCCTCCAGCTTCGAGAGCAGTGACGAACCTATGTCAGCGCTTGAGGATAGTGAGGTAGAAGAGAGGAAAAAATGGAGTGAGAAGGACGAGCCCTTCAAGATCCACGTCTGTGTCAAAGATAGGGCAAACATGGAGAAGGACTTGGAGAAGTTTAAACTTATGCGCCCCCAAGCCGGTAATTACAGCATCCGGGTGCCGCCTGAAGAGGGCACCGTCTCCTGGAAGGGTGATGAGAGGAACGACAACACCCACTTTGGCTGTTTTGAGGCGGCGTTCCTAGACGGGCGGACATTTCCCCTTCACGAGGCGGTGAAGGCAATTTTAAGAGGCTACGGCCTTGGAGTGTGGCAACTAACCCCCAATTCCTAGGCTAACATTTTGGGGTATGTTGCCGCCTCTGAATTTCAAGGGCTGCATCTCGGTTGGGAGGCCTTTTCCCACATGCATTATCTTAGCCGCAACCCAGGCAGCTGGAGGGCGTGGTATACTTTGACCACGCACCTTCAGTACATGATGACTTTAGACAAAGTGTCAAAATTTGACGGCTCGAAGCACCGCTTCTATTTGCTGTCTGAACCCAGCCGTCGAGAGAATTTTGAACCGCGCCGGTATAATAAGAAGCCCGACCTGCTGGGCCGGAAGTGCTGTCTTCCCCGGATTCCGGATGAGGACTATGACAAAATAATACAGACCAACTTTTTGGTCTTGAAACTGCTACCCTATCAACCGGGGAATCAATGAAAGTTCCAAAGAACTGGATCCCAAAGAGCGCCTAGTTTAGGGATGAGGCCTTTTTGTCCGCCTGTGGACTCAGCACAATGTTTACCAAACGTATGCGCCTAACATTATGACTGTCTGGGCTATTTCTATGTCAGCTATTGTGTAAGTACTGATGTCTTTGTTCTTTTTGCAAAAGAAGCTTAGGCCATGCTCCCAGACGACAAAACACCTAAACGGTCCTCAGCCACCATCCGCAGAGAGATTGCGGAGAAACAGGCTGCTCAGATCAGGGCCAAGGTAAGACGCCTGATGTAGACACCCATTTGTGTCTCCCCAAAATCAAACCCAGTGATGAGTACCTTTCGCGTCGAATCATAATCGAAGTGAAAGTGTGGAAAGTTTAGTGTTGCAGAAAGTTTTAATTTCTTTTCTCTTCTCTCTGTTTTTGAAAACTTATTTTAAGAAAACAGTCAATCCAGTTTGGTTGGTCCATGATATGGGTCCAATAGTAGTGTAGTTGGATGAGGCTTGACAAGAGTTTTCCAACGATATATTATAAGCTCAATTCCGATGAATATTGAGGAAGTTATGGCCAATTTACTAAACTGGGCCCGGTTTGAGCCTTATATGCGGCCCATTGATCTAGGGGAGGGCCTAATATGATTTATCATTCCTAATGAAATTAGGAATGGTTTTAGTCTTCTAGATTCTTCTAGAAGGTTCTTTTCATTCCTAATTCAATTAACATTGATAAATTGACTTTTGTTGACTTTTCAGAGTTTTAATTAAAATCAAAGAGCATTTTTTGAGGAAAGATACGATTTTATCCTCCTGTACGACAAAATTTATCTGATTTGAGAAAGCGCGTCAAAAACAGTGTTAGCGCCAATCGCCAGGCATTGGCGCCTGGCGCTAAGGCTGGCGCCTGGCGCCAAAAAGTTGGCGTTGGCGCCAGCTCTGTTTCACATGCGCCAATGCTCTGTTTTGTTAACTTTATCTTTTGGCTAATTTTCTATATAAATAACGTCGTAAAAACTCCGTTTTCATTCAATTACAACCAGTTTTCAATTCTCTTTCATTCTCTTTAATCATTCGCTAATTCTCCTCAAGATATCCTTAATCCTTCACCATCTCTTTCTATCTCTCTCTCTCTTTTCTAAACTCGCTTTCAAATACAAAATTTTGCATTCATTAGATCTAGAAACACCTAGCCATATTCGAAGTTGCCTTCGCCCTAGACGTGAAAGGTTTAATTTCTGAGGGTGTGGTCCCAAATCTCTCTTTCAATTATTTAATTTAATTTAATTGTTTGTTTATTATTTTCCTTGAAGTTACTAACGTGTGTATTTTGTTATTAGAAAGAGGTACGAGACATCCAAGTAAGTGGTTTAATGGTTTTTATTGATGTTATTATATAGAAATCATGTTTATAATGTTATTATGAAATTCCTAGTATCATGTCTAGGGTAACTTTAATATCAAGTATGATTAAAAGTATGATGCCTCCTATTTTCTTTCCTAATATTCATGTTAGTATCATGTTAGGGTTAAAGATTTGATTTTTATTGCTTAGTGACATGCTAGGGTTTGTTATTAATCTTGTTACTATCATGCCTAGGATCTTGCTATTATTATGCTTTAATATTAACATGAACATGATTATGATTATAATGATTATAATTTATGATGATCATGAATATTATTATTATTATTTTGATGATTATTATTTTATTTATGATGATTATTATTATGATTATTATAATTATTATTAATTATGATTGCTATGATTATGATTTTATGATTATAATATTTATTATAATTGTTATTTTGATGATCATTATTATCATTGTTATTATGATTATTATGATTGTTTTAATTATACTTTATTTTTATGATTATAACTTTATTGTCATGATTATTATTATGCTGCTTGATTATATATATATTTATTTTTTATTGCTTGATCACGCCTTTTATGCATGTTTAAAGGGAATTTGGTACTTGTAATCACGCTTAATAAGATAATTAATAATCATGTTTAGGGTTAATTTGATTATAATTTCAAGTGATCGCCAATAATAGATTTATTTGTGCATTAATATTCAACCCACATAGATAAACAGGTTTAGGATTAAACCTATTGATTGCATGTTAGTCAGAAAGCGCACATGAATACGATCAGAATAAATTAGAGG